TTTACGAGCTTTTCGATATGTTTGCTTATTCTAAGTCTCCCAATTTTTTTTAGTATGAAAATGCCGAAAAAACTATGGAAAATTTATTGTAAATTTTCAAATATAATTATTTTTGTGCATCAAAAAACCCCCGGTTTTACACTTTTCCCCCGGTAAAAGCTATTTAGTCAAAACTTTCATAACATTAGACACGTTGTTCTTATAAACTGCTGTTTTCGAAATATTTTTTGCATGTCTCGTTCTATATAAATTGTTAAATACACCCACATATGTTATAATAATGATATTATTTGTAAATTGTCTGTTGTTACATTATATGTAATCTTGACAAAATAAAGAAATATTGTATTGTATTGTATTGTATTGTAATGACTCTTTTGCTTTCCGCGCGTGTTTCTTTCATAGCATAATGTTCACTGCCTCTTGAAGTGTATATTTTGCCTTCCTTCTTGTTGTATTATACACAAACAAATACAGTTTGCCTGCAATGAGCAACATAAAAAGAAAATGTTTAATGTCGATGCTAAGACATACAATCGATCTACCATATTCTGCCAGTAAAGATAAATGATAACAATGCTTTGTCAGTTGAAATATATTGAATGCACTTGATACCTTTTCTGAAAACTCGACTACAATTTATAGCGGCTTCATTTCATTTGAAGCCAGCAGGAAATTAAATTCCATAAAATAGAAGTTATATGATGTTTCTTGTTGAAGTTTTTCTGTATTGCAAATTTAGTGTCCATAAGATGTTATAATCTTGTCTACTTAATACCCATTAAACTATAAGATCTGTTCACGGAATTATACTTTTACAATCTGTCAGGTTTTTGTTTATGGAAAGTAATGATTCATCATCCAGTCTTGAAACTGTTCCAAGTTTAAAGCGAGATGACACTCTTTCTTAAGTACCGTGTCAGATTATACCGATCAAAATGTAAATAAATTTTATCCCGGTGAGTGAATGCTCTTCTCTTCAAAGATTTGATTTTTTTACTATTGATTTGTTTGTTTGTTTCATTTTACGCCTTTTCCCAACAGTATTTCAGTCATATAGGCGGGTAGTTTCCTAACCATCTTTCCTGGAGAGTTACACCAGTACTAGACTACCTTCCTCCGAGCTAAACTACCAAAGCATATCCCGGGGATCGAACCAACGCCAGAGAGGTAACTGGATTAGAAGTCATCGACTCGACCACGGAGGCGGTCATATATCGTATATATATATAAATGCTAAATCAGTAACTTGTATGTTTAAAGATCAGTGTATGTGATAGTAGAACCATTTCCTAAAGATTGTATATAAAGAGTCTTAGGCAATGCTAAGTTACTGTTATAAAGAGTGTATTATTCATTAGGTTCTATGTAGTTACTCAATATAACTATAATCAACATTTTTACTAATAGAGATAAGAATGTAATGTCTATAAAACAATACATGTTCAATATGATTAAACTTTTAAATACACTTATATGTAAGTTAGAGTTTAAACCCTTAATATTACTTCAAAAATATATATGAAGATTATATATGCTATACTTCTTGTGTAATAGTATACAATATTATGAATGATTATATAATCTGTTGAAGTTGGAATCGAACTTTACAACAAATCCATTACTTTCACTTGTTGAGGATATTGAATGGAGCTTAAACCGGTGCTAGGGGGGAATGTAAGATGTTAACATTTGTTGTTATATCTCATAAATAGTCTCAATCAAACTATAAAAAACAAGAATGACTCTATCTGCATGTAGACTTGAACCTTATATTATGGCGTAGGTCAATAGTTAGGTCAAGGTAAATAAACGTCAAAGATAATGTACGGCTCTTATTGGTACAACATCGGCAGGGCAGTTTCAAATAGTTAGTGGTCTTTTTTAGATTTATAAGTGGGGTTCAATAATATATAGGTTTCTGAGGCTGGGGTCATTATTTTATAGAAAAGAAGGGCCGGTGGGTCATTATTCTATTGCGTTACTTTACTTACTTGACTTCACAGAAAATGTGCTTTTTTAAACTGTGTATCCTTAAATATCTCTATGTATTCACACGTGTGTAATCAATAAAACTGCAGGTCACGCCTATTAACAACGCCCTCGACTGTGCATAGAACATTGTAAAACAGTCGATATTACTAACTGATTAAAAGTTTGGGACTTTTAAAGCCGATTTAAGAAAGTAATGTATTACGATACATTTAAAATACTGCTTTTCCTATTAGACAATATTTCAAAAGACCTTTTTAGCCACATTTATTATAAACACACTCCTCCTGGAAACTTATTGAAACTGACATCTTAGTAAATTACTTAATTGTTCAGAAAACAGCATGAACACAGTTCTTTGTGGTCAAATTTATAAACAACTTCAAATGATAAACAAAACCATTTATAAATTTTACTGATTATATTATGCGAATACATACACAAGCAAAGCCATAACAAAAACAGGAGTAAATAAAAACAATACTTTTTAAAATACTTATTCTTATATATGAAAATAACAATCAAATGGACATGACCAGATTATAAATAACTTCATAATTATAATAAATGAAAACTATAGAAAATATTAAAAATATGAACCTAGTTTAAAAGTAAGTCTGTATAGTATGTTCATATTATCATACCACCGTTATAATAAAATCAACCTTGCTCAAAAGCGAAACTATAAGGGAGACTTTAAGGTGGCTTTTATATGTGTAGTGTCCCGATTACAATACAACCCTTTGTGTACATATATGGTTATAATGACAAGAATAAAAATAAACCATGAAATAGTCCTTAGCAATCACAACATTTTATACCAAAAAGGGTTGTAAATATCATCTAAATTGATTAAACTCATTAAGTTCTACAATGCACTATTAAAAAAATAATCAATTTGTATGAAAACAATAAAATACCTATAATCATTGCAACCTGTGTAATTACTCTTTGTCTGATTAATGAATGAAAGAAACTGGTTTAAGTAGGCAAACATATCTGTCCAACAAATACTTTTTACAAACAGTAGTTTTTTCCAGGACTAAATAGTGACCCTTGAATTTTTAATGAGTAACATATATCCTAGAATTTTGGAAAGTACGACAGTGTCCAAAATTGTGAGTAAGTGATGTAAGTATAAATGGCACTATTTTCATAAATTGTGCTAAATTCAACAGACATAGACAACATATTAAATTATAACGACTTGTCAAACTACAGAAATAAATTAAAGTGGATTGGTCTACAATGGGCACGGTATTTTAAAAAGTGATACAAACAATAGAAATGTATCATTTGGATAGTCTTATAAAATATAGCTTGCAAAACATGTTAATAAGTGATTTAGTATGAACATTTATATAAGGAATAATAATGTTTTGTTCTACAACATTTTATCATCTGCTACATTGATACATGTATATAAAATATTGCATTATGAACACACTTGCCAACAAAATCCATAAATAATTCTTTTGTGATTTGGTGTTATGTCTAATACTAAATACTACCGAAGTTATTATTGCTATTATAGACCAATTCAATTTAAGCGTTAAGTATATGATATGTAACGATATATTCTTTTTAGATATTTCACTTAAAATGGGCCTTATCAACATGAATGTAGCATACAATCTAAACTAATGAAAACAAACAATATAGATCTAGCTGATTAATATGGCCAAAAAATGGTCATAATGGGCCTAGATTGCTCATCTGAGATCCAATGTTGGACAATTTTTCAATACATAAGTAATTAGATCACATTAGGTGTGTCATTTTGATCTTATTAAATACTTTTAGAGCTCCTCTAGAAAATGTACTAGTCATATTCCTAAGCTCTGGACATTGTAGTTTAAAAAAAAAAACTAAAATGAATTTTCCCATACTGGTCTGAACGCGACCCGACGGGTATGATTTATATGACTTTTGTAAAAATTTGCATATGATGCTACATGCTAAATATCTATGCCTTGTATACTATGTCTAGTCTCGGGGCAGAAGATTTTTGAGACATATTTACTATTTACATGTAAGTTTATTTTTATCTAAGTGACTTCCAGCGCGAAGAAAATTTTTAACCCATGGTGCATGTCTTATGAATCTTTTGGAAAAGTCAACTTGGCAATGCCACATGCTAAATATCAAAGCTCAGCTCTAGATATTGTAGTTCAACGCTAGAATTTCTTAATGTGTTTTCCAGTACAAGGTATTTAGAAGTGACTGAGGGATAGGACAATTTTTAACAAAGGGGCATACTTTATGATCCTAGAGGCATAACTATACATGTACGTAACTAATATAGGTTTATTTGGCAATACTACATTCCAAATATCTGATCCCTTGGCGTGGCAGGTTTCCTGAAGAAGATTTAAATTTGTTTTTATTTAAGTCTACTATAACTAGATGACCCAAGGGGTGGAAATATTTTGGCCGAAATGTATATTATTTATGAAAGGCAATACTACGTGTCAAGTGTGTAAGCTCTAAGTATTATAGTTTACCACAAATAGACCTATCATATATACATGTCTTTCCCTAGATAAGTTTTAAGTAAACAATACAACACTCAGATGCAAGATGGATATTATTTTTTTAGAAAATCACAAGGTGTTGAATAAAGAAAACGTGAATGACGGATGCAATGCCATCACAAAATCTCACATCTGAGCACAAAATTATCAAGTGAGCTTATAAACACACTAATCAGAACTATCGTTAAATCAACCTATAAACTGATTCATAGTTTCCATTATTTACATATAGTATTTTATCAACCTGTTATATATACTCTTTATTTCCGCTTTTCAGCGATTACAACGCATACAACATGAAATATATACAAAAGATTAACATATGATACATGATTATGACAAATGTACATTTAATGTACTATAATTAAACAGACATAATTCAGTTCAAGTTAAATGGTTTCATATACATGTATAAGCTTCTATATGATCATATTTTTTATGATTATATAAACATTATATCGAGGTTATCTTAGAGCAATAAGTATTTAAGCGTAACAACAAAAACACATTTATATACATATTTAATATTTAAATTTCATTTGAGTTATCATACTGATAATGCAATGTAATTATATATGGTTAAAATGCCTCAGTATTCAACCTAGTATCACACATCTTACCGAAACGAAATATAAGCTATGTAAATGAGGCAATACCGCTAAAATATTTTCTGCCATTTGAAGTACTTGTCTTTATTTAGATAAAAGGTTTAGTTATCAAAAACTAAACAATCGTATATAAATTTACAAGCACTTTGTATGAAGTCTTTTTGGAGAAATTCATGTATGTCATATATATCCAAAACACGAGGATTTAAGATAGTCAATAAAGTTGTAGGCATTGTGCAGAGTTACTGCAGGAAATAAAGCTTTCTTTTGTCAATTTCTGCTATAGCAGGTAACCATCCCATCATGCTTGGAGTCATATCAGTTTGAGTTCTTCTTGGGAAGTGTTGTATGCATTTGGCAGCTAACAGGAATAGCCTTTCCAGCTTAAGGATATCAGTGTCAAATCATTCCATATTTCCGCTTCGTAAAAGGCAGTTGAATATGTAACTTTTTTCACTAAAGATGCCAAAACTAAGGGATTCACGTCGCCAGGAGTCTCGTCGATAGATAGAATAGAAAATAGAGATGAGCGGCATTTTCGCATACGCGCTTCTACAGCACTTGAACATTTTTGCGAATTGTGTAGTTCAATGCCGGCGTGAGTAACCGAGTCCACCGGACGTAGGGCATCATTTCCGAAATTAATATTTATATCTTTAGACGCATGTCTGCTAGAATTACCAAAGTGCATTAATTTGCATTTACTGTCATTGAATTCATATCCCCATCTGAATGCATATTTGTTCTCTATATTCAACTAGTGTTCAAGAGATTTAATGTTTGGCGACAGAATAACGATATCGTCCGCTAGCGTTGGGCTACAACTTTTTTTAGATTCAATAACCGTTCCATGACCACTTAGCTGTAATGACTGAAGAACTTCTTCTATAAAAAGGAGATACAGCCATGTTGACAAAATTCCCCCTTGATGAATACTTTGTTAAAACACACTTATCAGAACTATCGTTACATCAACCTATATACTGATTCATAGTTTCCATTATTTACATATAGTATTTTATCAACCTGTTGACGGACATGAGTATGTACAATTAATATTATGTTGTTAAAAACGCAAAACAACAAAACACGAAGGACAATTACAGATAAAAGTATATATAGCTGTCCTGCATTTGTTAAAACAACTTCAAACTTTCATCATTATTATCAACGACATCGCCTCCTCCTGGCGCGTAAAACACTGAGCGCTATCATAATTGCTTGGTAGATATTACCAACCTCTCTTTCGGCTGTAAATAAACAGGAAAAGAAAAAAACATTGTTTAATGTCCAATTTTAGGGTGAAGGTCATTGTCATGTAAAGTCGTATGCAATTTGTAAGCAGCTTTTTTCCAAGCTCCAAAGCACAAAGCCTTGACAGACACAATCTTTTTCATTTCGGTTTTATCCTCATTATTCATCGATAGATTTCAACAAAATATCATCTTTTAATGGTGTAAAAAATCTTCATTTAAGCATTACATCAAAAATTTCTACATTTATATTTCTCTTGAATATGTACATGCCTTATTTTTTATTTTTTAATTGAATAATACAAACAAGTTCATTTTTAGTATAAGCATGTACCTTATTCTTCTTATGTGAAATAAATTGTATTAGCATATAATCTGTTCTTACTTGTTCTGGCTCTTAGAGTGATCTCTATAGCCCGAGCGACATCTGATCTCTGATATCCGTCATTAAGAAACCTTCTACCGGAACTGGAATCAAGTATTTCTTCAATTCTATTCCTTTGACCAATGCGTTCTGAGATATAAAAGTACAGTATAAATCATACATCACCGTTAAATAGCCCTTCATCAGACTAATCTGACTGCCCAATTTAAGGGATGGTTACTGTGTAATTTCTATGAACAATTATTAGTTTGTAGCAGTAGCAGGATGTAACAAATTATTGAATGCAATATTGACATTATAAAGAATCATTTTAATATGTAAATGAATACCGGCTATTTCAAACATGAATTAAAAAACGTAGTTCAAATCTGTATGAAAACAAAAAGGCACATAAACCTTGATTACATTGTAAAGAGGCACATATTTTGTTCAAATTGAAATATATGAGTAAATGTGGAACTACTGGTCTTTCTGTTGAACTTTTTTCTTTTTTACAAGCAAAATTATTCCTGTAATCATTTGTGTGGTGTACATTCGTAGATACTAACATATACGACATAAATTAACCAAACGGACTTTACTTTTAGGTATCATATGTACCATGGAAACAACCACTGATCAAAAGCATTTACTCATGGGTCATTTATTCTTATACATTTATACAATAACTTCAAATTGAAAATATTTTTATCGAACTTGCCAGTATGTCTTGTTGTTTGGTGACTGCTCCTCTCAATGTTTCTTGCTGACAGTGAGGGCATTGAGTTGTTTGAAATCGTTCGTAGAGGTAGTGTACTGGTAGCCCTGTCATATGTGGACTCGCCAGTCTGTCTTATACTTGAGGAAGATCGCCTGTTTCTCACGGTATAACTGGGATGCTGCGATTCTGAGTTCCTAACATCATACAGATCAAGCTCGTACAAATTTGTTGGATATGCTTCAGGCAAGTTTGATTCGTCTGAAAAAAATATGTTTTTAAAGAATAATACGTAAAAATGTCCTAAGTCATTAATAGGGTAGAAATGACAAGCCGCAGCATTGTGGGATGAACAACACTCCACTAAAAACTAATCGCCAAAATCAAATTATTGCCATAACATAATGACAATTAATATATTCCGGCTACATTCTTTAAAATGTATCACCAACATTTTCAGTTTATATAAAGTTTTGTTGTAGAAAGAAAGATATGCGTACCTTGAATTTCCCCAGAATAAGTCTGTAGCTTCCTAGAAGTATTTTCGCATGCAGATGACCCTAAAGTTCTTTGCACTGTCCTGTCTACAAATAGGCTGTTTCTCGAGCTAACCATGCTGTGAAGTTGCGAGTGTGAGCCCCCTGTATCACGAGGATGTAATACATCGTGCGCTCTTCCTAAAGAATTTGATTCTATTAGGTTTGCTGAACTTGCATCTAGAAATAAAGTATATTGATAATTTGAATATACATCTAAAATAATGTTTGTTCTGTTTGATATCTGATTCCTATTCACTCAATGTTTTTAGTTTAATATCTGAATTTAAATAGTGGTTTATGAGATATTTAGCAATGAACAAAACCCACCTTGAGAATCGTCAAAATGTGGCTGTATATCCGTGGTTACCCTGTTGTGTAAAGCCGGGTCTGAAGCACTGTTTGGTAGTCTGTATGTAATGTTTCTAGTGAGACGTTGCGTGTCTGAACCACCTGTAAGATAAAGAGATAACTTCACAATATCTCTCTAAAATGCTTGATCCGAGCAGATGTATATTTGAAAGTACATCAAATTTGAATATCAATTCTGAAAATAAAGTATCCTTTCATAGGACCGAAAACAAGACATATGAATGAAAATAGCAGGTTCAAATTCAATGTGTATATCCAAAATTGACAATGAGTCACACAAATCATTCGGTTTAATTATAACATGGGTATATAGAAGAACCATCGGTCTCCCGCGTGCCCGCTGTATATAGTATGAGTTAGTTGGATCACATCCAAACATTTTAGAAGACAAAGTCTGGGTAATCTATAGCTGTGCGTAGAAAGTCATCCGAAGTTTGTAATATCATGTTTCTGTATAATTATTCTTAACGAATAATTTCTTTATTTGACAAAATAACTTCATACATTCCTAAACCTAATATAACGTCTATCAAGGGACACAATAATATCAAATCAGCCAGAGTCATCTCAAAGCAGGACCTACACTCATCTGTTTTTTATTTCTAAATCAAAAACATCAGAGGAAGAAAATTCTAGTAAAGAATTTAAAAAAAAACAAAAAACATTATTTTCTTGTACCAAATATATTTTGAATTTCATATTTGACCTTGAAAATCAATGTCATTTACAGATTAAGGTCATACTTAAATTAATCAACATGTCGATAATTCAACATGTCAGTCAAAATATCTAAGACAATATCAACAAGGAACGCAACAGTATAAGAATAGATCAAATCAGTAAATAATAAACAAAGTTTTGACGATTTTAGCAAATTTTGATAATTTGACCCTCAAAGTTAATGGCCAGATTTGAATTTTTGACATGTTGTTTTGTCATAAGCGTTATTTAGTCCAAAAAGGAGTCCAATTCATGAATAAATAATATTGTTATAACAGTTACGCAAATAATAACATTTTGATCCTGGCCATCAAGGTCAAATTTGATTTATTCGACAAGTTGGTTTTATCACTTGTATTCCTTTTTTCAATAAGAAAATGTCATGGTCGTTAATATCTTCTTTAGATCTATTCTTTATTATTAGTGGGTCCAAGTATAAAGACAATCAAGTCAGAAATAATACATTTATATCCAGTCATAGTAAAATTTAATTTTTAAATTTTAATCTTTTAGAGGCCAATATGACAAAAGATCAAATTTAGTTTGGTTTACTTGAAAGTCTTGTATAAGTCAAAAAACTTGACACATTTAGACATTAAATTTTCATGACCAATGTTAAAGATTGCCTAGACATTAAAACATTACAACCAAAGTTAAAGTTTGAAGACGGCAATGGAAACGACACTATGACTGTAGCAACAGCTCGAACCCAAACTTTGACAGCGTATAGTTCAAATGTTTATAGCACAATGGAATCTATGTCCTGTTAATTTAAACGTTTTGTTTATTAATTCTTTATGCAGCCAGCGAAATATTGCAGTAAGTCAGGTATGAAAATAGAACCCATATGCTGTGCAAAAGTATATGTAAAATTCATAAATAATTTCTTAAACTTAATATTCAACAAAAGACTGCGTAACCAGACAATATCTCCAGAACATTGTTTTGGTGTTGAATCTGACATGTTTTATTCTATTTGACTAATAGTACATGGCTATATGCAATACCATTATCCTGCTTAAATATATTGTTTTGTCTAATCTGCAAGATATATTGATGCAAAATAAATGTTTACATCTCTTACTTTCTAGCTCACTCCTTCCGTTTCGTTCACGAATAGGAAACATCCCCTGTGGCTAAAATTTAATCACATGAAAAGTTATGGTTATATTATTAAACTATTTCTTAATAACAAAAATTTAATGGAGTTGCCAGGACAATTTTGATAAGGTAAGATCTGCCAACTCTGTGTTATACAATTGCAAAATGTAGTTTGCAATTTATACCATTAGTATGGCGATAGCTTCATACTGTGTTTCAAAAAGATTTTTATATAAGAAAAGAAAATAACTTGTTTCGAGACAAATAAATTTAGCATAATATTTAAATGTAGTGAAAGTTCCGTGTAAGCTACACACACCTTATTGAAGAAAATGGCAACCTTGTTGATTGTTTGCGATTTATAACGACATGAAGTCATTTAACTATGACGCGATAGGCGAAGCAAGTCTACTCTCTAGCTCTAAACTGCAGGGATACTTGAAAATAAAAATGTACACCAGTAACCACAACGTAATTATTACGTTATTGACATTAGACGACCTTATGACTTGCCTTCTATTGTCATGGATTTCAGGAAATGATATTCTTACAAAAAGGAAGAATACAGACCAGGTTTCTTATACACAATTTTTAAATCTTTGGTAAGGATGTGAAGAAACAATTTAAATTAATTGTGCCTGCTCTATATTTATGTACAGCATGAGTAAAAGATATGAGTCTTGGATTTCATTGAAACTAGTGAACATTTTAGCAGCACCCGTCTAAAGGACAAAAAAAAGTCAAAAGTTTAATTCAGCGAGTAAGACAGTGTTTAATAATTTCAACAAATCATTTTACCTTAACCAGACACAAACAACATTTTCAGTTTCTCAGATATTTTTAAATCATTGATTTATACTGGATATATCGTGTTTACTTTCTTTAAGCTTTAAACTGAAAAAAACTGAAATCGGTTTAAGTAAGTCTTAGATAAAAGTCCAATTTTTTAACGCTAGAATTAGTCAGACAGTAATTTAAAAATTTCAAGTTTAGAATAAATAAGTAGCAAGAAGTACCTGGGGTGTATAAGTCGAAAAACCATGTACATAACTGCAGCCTGGGGAAAGTCTCCTATGTTCCAATAATGGATTATCACCTGTAAAGACAAAATAATTAATCTAGAATAACAGAAAAAAAGTCAATGAAATAGTTTTAACATTTGCTTTTGTGCTAATATATGTGAAAGAGAAACCTTATTTACCGCCTAAGTAGGCCAAATCGTAAATGCTGCAGGCTCGAAATGATGAATTTGTCTCTGCCGAGATTATCTTTTTGAACAATTCAAGTATTCAAGTATACAAGTTAATTATACTTGGTTTCAGTTGTGCTGCGAGTTGGCCTTAGTTGCTTTCTTATAAACAGGGAAAATAGTCTAAGTCAACCAACTATATATCAATATGTTTTTTTCTTCTTCTAGATTTGAAGTTTCCGGAATGGTTATTCAGTTTTCCCTACTCCGATGTGATGCTAGGATATCGAAGTTGCCGTCCAAGATCGCCTACAAATTACAAAGTTATATTAATACTTATATTGACTCAGGATTTTTTCTGATAACTGTCACAGTGTTCCTGGAAAATTTTACGGATTTCGTTGGATATCATTTGTTATACCGAAGAAACACCCGTCGAGAATGGTATTTTTATCTTAAAAACAACAATATGAGGTGGTTAATTTAACTTTGGCATACCTTTCACATTGTATTATGTGCCAGAAAAAAAACTTAATACTTTTTTTTATAGTCATGTTTCATCGCCTATTTTTTAAGATATGGTAGTTTTGAGTAAGATTTTTTTTCCAAATGTCCTAAAGTTCTTCTGATAACTCTGAAGATGTACTTGAATTCTTCTGATAATGTTTGTTGCCAGTGTGTTTCTTGTGTTCAGTTATGGCACGTTTTATCGTTTCTTTTTTATTATTCAATAAGGGTGTAAATCATTATGAATCGTAGCACGGTCATTCTTTACAGAATAAAAAACGGTAATATAATGTTGGTTATGAGTATATTTTAGTACAAAAGATATATATGTTTTCTTAGTCTGTTTGTTTCTTGTGCTTTTTTCATTCAATAATATTTCTGCAAACGCAGATTTCGTAGACTGGGAAAAATTGGTGTAGAGTATTTGGTTACGGGATACAAAACGCTTTGATTTCAATATCAAGTCATGGTGTCATGTACATGTATACATTATTCCAGGCATTTTAGGGAACATTTAGTAGCTATGTCATTGATCTGCAGTAGGCAAAACAAATAACTTATAAATGGTTTACAACAAAATATGTAGAATGCACTACCTATTTCTTAAGTTAATGACGTTGATATCATCTTCAGGATATTGATTGTTTGTTTGTTTCATTCTATGCCATTTCCCAACAGTATTTCAGTCATATAGGCGGTCAGGATATTGATATAGCGCAAACATACAGGTAGTAATAAAAGCTATCAGACGAACTCTAAGACATCTTCAGAGTTATTAGAAGAACTCAATGACTTTTGAAAAATCGGGCATAAACTTTATACCAATTTGTAATTTTCGATTACAATAAGGAAATAAAGCATGGCAAGGAAATAGATCACACATGAACCGTTCAATATGTACGAATGAACAAATAATTTGCAAATTTTACTCAAAACTACCAAACTAAAGATGAAAATTACCATTTTTGGCGAGTATTTCTTCGGTACATACAAAAGTTTTCCAACTTTTTTCCGTTTGATTAAAATTAGTAAAATGTTGTTTAAATTTGGATATCAGATTCTAAAATGAATAGCCTAACTGTAATTTGTTTAACCCATTACGCGATATACACCCCCCCCCCTTTTTTTGGTGTCTCAAATGGTGAAAAAATGCCTTATTTAGGACCCCAACACATGTTTTTGTTTGAGAAATGTTGCTAAAAAAAGTGACCACATTTTCGGCGCGGCCCCCCATCCAAAAGGTACATCAGGGGGTTGCCAGAAGGGGGATGTGCCCCCTTCTGTTTGGGGGGTTTGAAGGGGGACGGAGTCCCCCTCATCGCCAAGAAAATTTTGGACTTGTGAGAGGCTAAAAATGACCCCAGATCGATCATAAGGCAACGTGTAACCAACGCTGAAAAGCATTTGACTCTATAATCTCAATCCATTGAGAAGTTGCAGCACTTTGAAGTCAATTTTGATGGAAAAAATCAAGGCAAAATAGTGATTTTTGGCAATTTTGAGATGTCCCCTCATTGCCATAGTAACAGGAAATGTAAGCCTGAGCATGTTGTTGCAAAGGCATTGGTCCAGTCAACACTTGTGCCAAGTTTGATTAGTATTGAAGCAGGTTTTATAGTTTTATAGCAATTTGAACTTGTAACGGGAGACTTTTCAATGAAAACAGCCATTTTTCATAAAATGCTCATGAAGTAATCGGTTAAATAGAATAATATTCATAACTTTCGATTTATATATAACGAAATGCATGTGGGCAATAATGCCATACATACATACATACCGTTTTGGGTGTTTCCCTTGCGCGGTCGCTTAATACAAGTTTGACTGTACATACATACATGCATACATATCGAGGGGTGAAAGCGAAAAGGTTCTAACTCACTTTTTTACAAATTTCACTTTTTATATATATTTGTTACATAAACACCCAAATACATCTTATGTCAAAGTATATATTAGATTTAGTTTACTTATAACAGGATGAAACGAAAAATTGTCCAAAGGTTCTAAGTGAAATAAACCTTTTTTTTCTTAAAACAAAATCGAAAAGGTTCTAACTGCAAATGATTTCCTTAACTTTTTTTCAATATAAACCATTGACATATATGAATGACAGCCATCACAACAAAAGAACTCTTGATGAATCTTTTTATGTTTACCAATTTTATATAAACGTATCTGTTAATCTTTGTTTACTACTGTTAAAATAACATTAACACTTTCAATACACTGATACATTAATTCTTCAATCATTCCTTATGATTGTAGAAAAACAAAACAGACTTAGTTAAAGTGTGGGTCTAAATCTCTACACATAAGGCATACACAACTTTGACATATTTTGTACTACTTGTATGAACGCCTTTTAAACAGTATTTTATAACATTAATTGCTCTCATCGTTTTTAAACATTTTCTCCCTACTTCACCATAGATAAAATTATTTTGTGTTTGTCTTTTTACTTGTTACAATTTCTTACAATACTTAAAATATATATCTTCTAACATCTGTCCCCAGATTTGTGATACATGTACATGGTTTAAAACTGGTAAAATCAGTCTATCAAACAGATCCAGTTTGTGTTAAACAGCAATGCAAGCAAAACTTATTCGACCATTTTCAAGTTCATACCATGCCTTAAATGCTTATCAAGAAAGTAATTCAAAAATTGTATTGGAAGATTAGCCTACAGAAATACTATTTCTAGTGATTTTCCTTTATAAGAAAAAAAATCAGATTTTGTCTAAGTCTAACCATCTTTTTTACAAAAATTAAAACATTTGTCTTTGTACAATTAGCTCTTCATTTCCACCTATCACGGTATTTTTTCTAATAATGTTAATCCTTTTTATAAGCCCTTCTCTGTTTTAGACATGTTGATTTAAATGCTGAAAGCAAAACGATATTTTTATACCCACAATAATATTTCCCGATAAATAAAACACATAGAAAATAATAAATGTACAAATATTTCAATATGAGATACATCGTTGCTTTGGTATAATGTTTTGTCTTGTTATTATCTCATCAATTTGGTACATCGTCCCGCCGCTTCCGCCGTAGCGACGAGACGATAATTCGAAGCAGCAGTTTGTCATTTTGTTTATATCAAAAGTCGCCAATGCGAAGAACCAATGGCCCGAATGCAACAGCGTACCTAACGTATCAAAACGCTATAAATGACAATTTACTTGCAAAATAGTTCACTTGTTTTGACATATGTTTGAATAGAAATCAGCCAAACTTATTCTTCTTGATTATCTACGGCTTTGGCGACAATCTTAGAACCAAAAAATTTAAATCTAAGGAAAGTGAAAATACAGACAAAAAGTTCAGTTTATATAACTTGCTTTTGGCTGTCAGACCAGTTTGATGCCATGTAACATGAATTTGCAGTACTAATGTATGTGTCAAATTACAGGATGACTAATTTCATCTTAAACATAGCATGCAATGCATTCCTTAAATGTGTACGTATTAATGTTGAAAAAAATATGAAAGTATGAGAGTAAAATCAGGACAAATTAAGTACGGCATGCATCAATGAGTCCCTCAACGACATGCAATGATATTTCCGGTAAATACAATACATTACAATAAATGATTGTACAAATGTTTCAATATCTAATATATCGTTGCTTGGATGTATCACTTTGTTGGTTTTTTTATTGCGTTGTTAATTTCGTTGCCTCCGAAGCACCCAGACGAGACGATGCATTCAGTCGATTAGACGATAACGCAATGACTCGATAACGCAATGACTAGGCTGGATGTAGCACTGAAGCAACAAGAAAATGTGACAATGTGACGAGATGATAGTGCGACGATGCTCTGAAGCGACAAGACGATAAGGCGTAGCGACGATAATGCCAAGGAAAAAGTAATTAATTCATTTTAAATATATCAGCCAATTCAAAGAAACAATGGCCGAAATACAACGGCGTACCTAACGCATCAAAACGCTATAAATTACAATTTACTTGCAAAAAATTACTTGAAATATATGTTTCTATAGAATCTTCTTGAGTATCTACGAATACGGTGGCAATCTAGGAATACATCTTGGATTTCTAATCTAAGCAAAGTGAAAATAAAGACAAACAGTTTGTATATGGATCTTGCTGATGACTGACAAACACCAGTTTCATGACATGATACATGAATTGCAGTACTTATATATGTGTCAACCGGTCAAAATGACAGATTTCAGCTTAGTATGCAATGCTTTCTTAAAAAGGGTGTAAATATAAATATTGAAAAGAATGAAAGTAAGAAAGAGTAAAATCTGGACAAATTAAAATAATGACATGCTTCAATAACTCCCACAACGACATGCAAGGATATAACAACATCTAATTACAAAAATTAAACTAACATAGTTTGGCAATACTGGCCTGAGA